TGGTGAAAGATGTGGAAGGAGAGGAGCGCTGGGAGCAGATGGCTAAACGGACTGTCCATGCTCCATTAAACACTCACATATACATGCACAGGCTGAAGGAGAAGCCACATCTGCAACAAAGAAGGTCACAGAGTCTGGAGCCTTCCAAACATAAACGCATTTGAGGAGATCTTTTGATACACCGAAGCATGATTTTCTTGGAGCCAGATTAAAATTTTGACACAGGGGGTGAGACAGGTTAAGTGTCTTTCCCAAGGACACAATGAGAGTGTTCATTCAAGCGAGCTGGAATTGCACCGCCAACCTGTGGGTCAGTGGATCTGACGGCTCTACCAGCAATGTTTACTTCCAGAACAGGATTCACACAGCCTTCTGATAAGAGGAGTCCAACCGAGTACTACCAGCTACTCCCATGAAAATAAAAGATGAGAACACTTACAGGTGTGTATTTTTTGTTGCTTTGTGCCTTCGTTGGCAAACTTTGAGTCCAAAATTATTCTACTTTACTGTATATTTGCTTTGATCTATAACCTGTAGTTCAGGAGCTATCAGAAGCTCTCCACCTCTTTCCAAGCAGCTCGCCAAGGGATTTCTAAGATATATGTCTTGTGCAGAATAACTCAAATGTGATTCATTGCCACTGTAAATGTCTCATTTTGATGCCTAACTTGCACTGATAAATGGATAATGGTTTATGTTGCATGAGTATCCAACTGTTCCCATGTAAGGCTTAGGCCCTGTTTACACGTACACAGGTATTTTTAAAAACTGAGAAATTTCCCTTTGCGAATTCACCTCTGAAAAAGAATCTTCCTAAAAATTCAGGCTAAGTGGAGATCCTGGAAAACTATGGTTTTGCGTTTGAGTGTAAAGTGACATAAAGTTTTAGGAGCTGATGCGCCAAAAGTGCGACCAGTGTTGCTCTTTTGCTCTGATGATGATCGCGGAGCCTTCAGAGCAGCAGTCGCATTTCTTCTGGTACAAACACTTTTCATGTGTTTGCATTTGGACAAACAGCTGATGTATAATATCCATGATCAGAGACAAATGAGGCTCAGAGGTCAGCAATTTTGCCATTTCTTTAACAGATCTGCGGAGAGGTGAGCCCATTAAGTAATGCACGTTTGAGTAATACAACTGTAATCAAATAAATGCTACACGTTTGAATCTAATCCAGGTGCCCTTCAGAGGCTTGGTGTAGTTATGACGGTGCTCGATGGTGTATTTATGCAGGTTGATGTAAACGAAAAGTTTTTTGAAAACTATGCTTTGTGCACAATGTTATTTTGGAAAACGGAGGGAGGGAAATATTCGTTTCTCAACATACCCGGCTGTGTGTAAACGTAACCTTACTGTGGCTCTTATATTGCTTACATTTCTTGCGACTGCTAAAATAAGTCACTTTCAAAGATTTTGGTTTGTAAAAAGTAGCTAAACGGAGCAAGAAGTTTGGAGACCCCGGCTCTGTAATCATATCCAATACGTCATACCTCATCTATAGTTCATTTAATCATTCCTGAGAACATCTTGAGAACATCTTTTGTAAACACAGTTCTTCTCCATAATACAAACAAATATAATAATTCATCATAAACATTGTATATAACACTGAACATAAATGACATATTTACCCTTAAGGATCATAATATATTTCTTTGCCATGCTAGTCTAATCTCTATTTTAATAAATTAAATAGAATACATTCTTTCAGTATTTCTATTATCAACAAAATAAATGAATTGGACTGAACTAATTAAAAAAAGATAAAACTGTCTATATAACACATAAAATCCTTGTCTTGCTGAAGTTATTTCACTGCAGTAGAGAAGGCAAAGTTTGACAGGACAGCAAGTCTTGTGAATGGTGACTTTTTATTCTAGTCGCTCTACAGAGAGAGAGAGAAAGAGAGAATGAGAGAGAAAGAAAGAGAGAGAGAAACAGTGCCACTGTACAGAAGAGCTTCTTGTGAAATCGACACAAAAAATATTGTTTTTACTCTTTATCATTTATAATTCTTCATGATGATGTATTCCAGTATGAATTTACAAGCCATGTATACAGGTGTCATTTCTAAATATATTCAAAATAGTTCCTTAAAAGTCTTTGAGGAAGTATTTGTTCTTTTCTTTAAAAAAGCTCTATTGTTACAGCAAACCATAATGAAAAAGGTCTTGAATCTTTGGAGGGATAGCAGACTCAAAGTAGTTTTTTTCTTTTTTTCTTTTTGTCGTCTTTACAGTTGGAGTCTTGTCTACACATGAAGGAGAGGGAGGAGAGAAGCAGAGCTGGTGATACAGTATTTCTCACCTGCCATTGGAGGAAGAGCAAGGAAGTACCGCCTTAAAACGCGAATCGGAGCCACCCCATTGGTCCGTCACCGCCTCGATAACGGCCAATGGGGTCCGGTCCTTGCACTCTCCCCTTATAAACAGCAGCATCTTCATGTGTTCAACTTTTTTTTTTCTCTCAGATATGTCAATACACCTGGTTACAAAGTGATCGTAACATCCAAATAAAAACGACCCAAAAGATGAACAGAAAACATTAAAATAGTTACATCCGGGATTGCATGCCATCACTCATTATTTATCATGAATTAAAATACATTTTGCTATTAAAAAAGAGCAGGGTTGTCATCACAAGGGCGCGTGTGAGTGCATTTGAACAAAAGAACAGATTTACATGACAGTCTCGTCAAAAGAACTCTGAACTCATGTTTTTTAGCGACAGTGCTGTTGTTTTGATATTTGTACATGTGCATATTGTTCTGTCAAGCAGCATGTGAGGATAACTATGATACGAAATAGAAACATGTAAAAATAAATGAAAATGTCAAGTCATCTAACGCGCTGTCGACTCCCGAGTAGTTCCCTCGACCGTACAAAAGTGAACATGTAGTTTTAAACATGGAGCTTGTCTATAGCACAGTGGAGAAAGCAGGAGAGTTTAAAAGTAACTGATCCTCAATGCTTAACAATATCTTCCATTATGATTAGATCCTCTTTTATGTTCCTGTGTTTACTTGGGATGCAATATATCATTCAAACCTGGAAGACTTTGGACTGGTAAACATTAACAGGATAATTCTGCTTCCCGGTCACTTTTTCTTTCGTAACTTTCTTATGTTTTTCTTTTTTTCTACAAAACAATCTGTGCCACGTGGTTTTGTTTTGCTGTTATGATTGAAGCTCTCCCCAAAATGCACAGAATCATCCTGAGGTATTTGAATTGACAAAATTTGGCGAAATTTGAGAACGCCAATCAATTCAGTCAAGTAAATATACGCTTGCATGTTGCTGTACGCACAAAATAAGTTACAAAAATGTGGCACGTTGAAGTATGTACATGTCAAAGTTATTAAAAAAAAGAACAAACAATAAAAAAAGGCATATAAGAAAACAGAATACACCCAAATGAAGTAGCATCAAGCTAACAGAAGGAGTGCCATGCACACATCTTACATGGTTATGCGGTAATGAGGAACACTTGTGTAACATTGCATTCAAGTGAAAACACAAAAAACGAGGAGCCTTCTCAAGTAGATCCTCAGGAGGTCCCTGGTTGATTGTGGGTTGATGGAATTGGCTGCATTTGTATTATTCAAATTACCATTTCATTTTGTTGAAGCACAAAAGCAAAATAAAACATAGAAAAATGATGTTTACCCAACACAGCCACATCTGGCATGTCTAGAAGAGCTAAAGTAGAAAGGAGAAAAGAGTCATTGTTTTATACCCTGTTTGTCAGTATTAGGGAGGTCAGAAGACGTTAGCCTCCATTTGCTAGCTAACAGAAAATGCAGTGGTAGATTTGCCTTGGTCATCTCCTCTCTTCCCTTCCACCATCCTCCTGCCCTTTGGAAGCAGGAGCCTTACCGTGACACAGGTTTTACTAAGCACAAAGTTCAATGTTACGATTGTACAAGTATCCATCCACACCTGACGCGTCAGTGTCCCTTTTATAAACATGGACGTGTATAAGTCAGTATTTTCAATTCTCCAACATGAAATCAAAAATCAGTACATGCAAAATAATCTACTACCTTTGATGGCGATTTCAAAAAGCTATGCTTTTTCAAAGCATTGTGGGAAAGGTTTTGAACTAATGCTATTATGCTACCAAATAAGCAAACACTAAAGTCCTACACATGGGGATCTGAATGCCAGAATCCCGAAGAAATTGTACAGTAGAATAGAATAAAAAAGCAATACTGCAATTTTTTTTTCTATGCGAAGTGCCAGAAAAGAAATGCCCGTCAGCCTGCTAGTCCTTTCATTTGTAAACTTCTTTAGGAGCACTCCTACACATTACTCTTCACCTCCATCACTATGTGTCACTGTGGTTTATCAAATCCATCTGGATTGTGACAAATGGTTTGATAGCATCCTGCTAAAAGCCTTTAGATCAGCCCTCATCACATTTGCCTGTCTCCTCTCACCCTGCCAAGGGTCTCGGTGGCCATATTTGTCAGCGTAACAGCGACTAGAGCACTGTGACGCCCCGGCCCCCTGGGAGGCCCCGTGTCTGGCCCTGTGTCTGGCCCTGACATGGAACGTGCCCATCTGGTTTCCTGTCAGGCCTTTTACGCTCAGCCAGCCTGACAGCAGAGGTGGGCCAGAGAACGCACGTTATTTCACAACAACAAGTGACAAACTAAACACAACAGTTCTTTACCAACAGTACAACATCACCTTCGACCTTTTCTGACACATTTAACACAAGGTGCCCTTTCATCGCCCCTTCCTGCAACCCCTTTGCTTATAGCAAGCTGAGCTCCAGCCATGAATCCAAGAGGGTACATGGCTGAGACTGGACAGAAATGATACCATCTGCAGAGTAATCATAATCCCATCACCTCAGAGGGCATGAGTTCTTTTGGATTAGGTCAGAGAAGAAGAAAAGAATGGCTATGGCATCCTTTAGTGGATAACATAGTTGATAAAATATAATACAAAGCCAGAGAGGAGTTAGGAGCAGAAAAGACATACTTCTTATATCAACTAAACATCGGACTCAAGACTGGGGACTTTTTTATACAGCCGTCTATTGCTGATCTGGGCTGAGTTTAGGACACCACGCTGTGCGGGGTATGCACTAGTCTTATTGGCTGAGTAAGGCATTGCATGCTCCTTAGTGTACATGTCATTGGCTATCCGCCCGTCCCGTGAACAGTATGAAGCATTGGACTTAACAGAGGAGCGCAGATTGTTCGCATCAATGCGTGTTTGAATGGGGGCTGATGTGAGCACAGCTGCAGGGGAGGCCACAGCCAGCTGTTTGTAAATATCTGAGGAGCTCCGCCCATGGACCAGTCTGCTACTGGTGTCGTCCCTTAGTGAGTGGCTGAGGAAGGGGTTGTCAGAGCCATGGATAGGGTACAGGGACTTGCTCCTCTTGCTCTCCTCTAAATTATGATTGAACATAGATTTGGGGCCTGTGCCGAACAGTTTGCCAGAGTAGGGCCGCATGCCGAAAAGATTGGCATACTGGGAGTCGGAGGCAGAATCCAGGAAGCGGTCCTTCTCCTTGAGGCTTACGCTGCGGGCAGGTCGTCCCTGGTCCGTGTCCTTGGGCTTTTCTAGCATGATGTTGTCAAAGGAGTGCTGCCGACTCAGCCGTAGACGGTTTCTCTTTTGCACATGAGGCCCGTCGGTCTGGGGCCAGTAGAGCCCAAACATCTCGTCTTGTGTCTGTGGATGCTGGAGGTGCATGGTGGGACTGATCAGGGAGTCAGCGAGGAGCTGGTCCTCACTAATATCATACAGGTTTGCTGTGTGGAGGCAGGCTTCACAGCGGTTGTAGGGGGAGCGCGTAGCAGACCCTGATGAGGGATAGGATCCGCCTGCTGGGTAACTCGTGGTCATCTTAGACAAGCATGCACGGCAGTGTGTCTGTTTGTATCGATCAATAGTTTCATGTGGCGACAGAGAGAGGTTTTTTTCTTTTAGGCTGTAGTGTTTGGAGTATGTTGGGTCTGGTAACATGTCAGAGTCTGTGTGATGCAGAGGAGAGGAGTTCAGGTGGATAATGGGCTGCTCACACTTCCTGTAATTATCACTGTGGTCAGAATAGATTTCGGGGTAGTCCAGATCGTCAGCGGCCAGGCCTCTGCTCTCGCGGTACTGAATGGGGTCTGAATGAAGGCTCATTTCTCGGTCTGATTCAATAGTGTAAATTTTTTCTCCTCCTGCTCCTCTCCCGCTTTGGTTAGTTCCACTGCTGACCTGTTTAGTCTTTAAGTAGGACAGCTCTACCTCACTGCAATCCCTTGGGTATTTTGACGTCACGGATCTTTTTTTTAAGTTGTCCTTGGACTTCAGGTGCTTGTTGTTTTCTGGGTCCTTGTAGGAGGCGGCTCTGCTGGAGCAGTCGGAGATGTCCGAGTGGGCGGTGTCCTCCGGGAGGTACCTCTGGGTCTTCATGGACAGACGGGGGTCAGGCATGAGCATGTCAGGCATGGGGGCGGGGCCAGGAGGCGCTGAGCGAAGTGAGTCCACAGACTTTTTCCACAGGGTGCGAGGGGGTTTGGCATTGGTCTGGACTGCATCAGCACTCACTGCTACCTCCACTGAGTTGGGATTGGCATCATTCAAGGTCAGGGGATGCTGTCCTCCCTGGAATATGTAGTTGTTGAGGTGGTCTTTGTGGCGGTTGGCGAGATAGGCCTGTATGTCCCCAGTGTCCCCGTAGATCATGTCTTTGGGAGCGTAGCTTCGGTTGTCCGCATAGATAAAGTTCCCCTTCTCCGCCATCATGTCCATGATCATGGGACCAGCCGAGTGCATAAACTCCCGTTTGGGAGAGTTGGCCGCCAGGTTGGCCATGTTGGACATCTGTTTAGCGGACTTTATCAGCTTAAGCATCTTATCCTGGGGACTGAAATCCAGATCCGTCTTTTTCTTCATGTCAATATGAACTCCATGGATACAACTCCAGATTCCCTGTTTGGGGTGAATGTATAAATGGCATGATGGAGGGGAAATGGAAAAAAGTAAATAGGAAAATAGTAGAAAAAAAAGTTAGACAAATGAAATGAGAAATTATATAAAATATCAACATAAACAAAATGTAAATGTGATAGGAAAAGAGAGAAGAGAAAAAACATTTACTTACTCAGTGTTAGAAATCTGTATTTGCAAAGTGAAAAAGCAACTTCAACAAAATTATCAAAACATGACATACAAAAGCCCATACAAGGCTGACAGTGCAGAGCCTTTTGTACTGTAGAGTAGGTGTTTATTTTTCATATAATCACGCTAATCTATTCTATCCTCAGTTCAACTATACTGAAAAAGAACTCTGCTCTAACTACAACTATTTTGTAAAACCTCAGCACCTTCTTCCTTCTAATGTGCTTCTTTTTCTAAGCTAACTTTGCTACATTACCCCTCCCAAAATGGAGCCCAAATACCGCAAAGCTTTTAGGGATGCGTGTCCATGCCTTGCGCTCGCACACACACAACGGGGGGAGACTGCTGACCTTTTACCACAATGGGAGAGAACGGATTGATTTAGCGCCGGGCTGCGACGATTTCACCGCAAAACACGACGCAATTGGGATCTATTCTGGTCGTCGTTGGAGCGCGCCTCGTGATTCCCCGCCCGTGTCATCCTCCCTTTGTGCCTCGCTCCCCTTCTCACAGCCCCTCACTTCCGCACCAGTTCTTAGATGGTGCGTGTGTGTGCCGCGCGCTGGCTCTGCACTCTTCTTTCACGCCAATGGTTGAAAATAGCATCATTAAAGGCCTGTCTGACCCCAATAAGGCGGTATTAGACTTTGCTATGTACTATATGACCTGGAAGGGGGACAAAGTTAAGAACGCTCGCATGGATTTTGGCATTTACTGAAGACTATAAAAATGAGTAATTGGAATTGTTGCATAATTTTGGAGCAGTTTTCTAAAATGTTGCTAATCAGGTCACATAGAACGGCGGACTTAAGACTTATTCCCCACGGTTGTAGTATATTATTCAATGACGTAGGCTTGGCGAAAAGAGACTAGAGAATTTTGGTCTTGAAACTTTCTTTAGCAATTACTCTGATAAGTTACTAAATAGGACAGTTAAATGTGGCGTAGCTGATCCAGCTGTTCAAAGTTGCATAGACAGCAGAAATATGGGTTTTGTCTGAATTAAAGACATGTCAAGGGACTCAAACTCTATCCTGTTCCATAATATCAGTGGGTAGATCTATTTTACAGATTTTTAGGCTACATATATATGATGACGGCCTGAACGGAAGTGGCGTCGCGTCTTCAGTTTTTATTCTGCGTTGAGACAAGCGTTTTTCGAGAGGAAATCTGTGAAGCAAAAATGTCTGGAATTTGATTGGGTATGCATGCCAGGCGGCTAGGCGATGATGTATGTGACGTAAACGCGTACGAAACGTGAGCAGATCTGACCAGAGTTTTGCGTCTTGGGCAGTGTAGACGAAAACGCTACAGCGGAGTGTATTCAACTTTTCCACTCTGGAGGGCGGTTTCAGATTTTTGCGTTTTTTAAGCCCCAAAAACGCCGTCACCGTCTAAACGAAAGGCACTTCCGATACATTATTTTGTTGTTTTTACCCGCAAGCGCTATCATGTAAACAGGCCCTTAGACTTTTGTACAATACGTTAAAATGGTATCATACAAAACTCTGGAGCATTGTTCAAATCAATGAGGCTGGAATTACATGAGACCTAGAAATAAAAATGTGACATTACCATTTAACATTCGCACTCAGGGTTTCCAGGCTTCAGTGATCAATGCATAAGAGTGCGTGAAAAAACTTTACAAGACAATATGGCATAGCTGTGTTTTCTAATGTAATTGTGAAAGTTGCGTTGTTCCTAGGCGTGTGTAAAATACTGAAATATTGGTATATCGTATTGTTTAATGTGATGCTACAGTATCGATATCGTGAGCTGCTGTATCAATATATGGCCAAGAGTATTTTTTGGTATATTTTACTAAATTATTTTGTTACAGCACGACAATTTGGTTTATTCTTTAGTGGAAGGAAACTAATTTATGCGACACATTTGACATTTTCACTGTTTTGATGATTAAATTGTTTGTGTTTCATATTCACTTTGCACAAGAAGAACACTTTTAGTATCACAGCCATGATTTCATCTTTATTGAGCCATATCGAATCGATTTGTAATATATCATATCGAATCAAAAGTGCACTGTAACGAGATATGTATCGTATCGTGGCCTATGTATCGAGGTATGTATCGTATCGGCAACTTCTTAATGATACCCATTGATGGCTTGGGAATTAAGATTTGTCACTGAAATTAAGGGCCATTATTAGGAAAATGTAAATAAATAAATACTAATAAACTTCTATGAGCACAACATTTTCACATGCAGCTCTTAAAAGCGAACCAAATCTACAGGAAAACTGCGTATCTGGCAAACACTAAAAAAGTAAAAGCAACCTATTTTCTAGTATCCACGTGTGAGGTTGACATTACTTTACATAACGTTGCTTTCGATCTTAGACGATACTCAAGTCTAATCACCCACACCACAGAGTGAACTTTGAACTTACCCGACTGATGGAGAAGAGGAGCCCCGGCTGTCCGGAGCAGACCCCAGTGAAGCAGTAGCGCAGCCTCCAGTAGAAGAGATGCTCTGAGATGAAGGTGATGAGGGACAGGCCCATCGCCGTAGCCAACATGTAGAAGACCCCGGCCATGTTGTCCACATCCAGCTGACTGGACATCACCTCGTTCTTCTCGTTGTGGCAGATACCAGTCAGCCATTGGGCCTCCAGCTCCTCCATCTCACCTGGTGCATAAAACAGAGGGGTTCAGCAGTGTGAGGAAGGGAGAGAGAGAGCATTTATATGAATGACTTGAGAGATGACAGGTTGAGGTTGATTCCATGGCAAAAGAAAAGTTGACAGGACAAAAGTTTGACATTTGAGTGACGACATTTCCATGACTTCTTCAGGCGAAACATCTACACACTAAAACTTTAAATTAGTTGAGTAAAATTTTCTTTTGCCATGTTTGAGAATGATAAAAATCTAGGATCGTTGTCACAATTTAAAACAAAATATTAACCTATAACTTTTTAATGCAAGAAAGTACTCAAAATGTTGCATATAACAAGAACTTGAACCCATGAATAGTATTATAACCTTCACTTTGCTTTCTCCAGGTTGCTCGTTTCTGAATTACGACTTGCCATAAGACTTAATCTGAATCCAAATTACTTTTTATTATTCACTTCCGAGGGACAAATATTTTTGTTACAGATATGCACTGCTGAGTAGAAGCAGAAATGGGGCGTTCAATATACAACAATGGCAAATACAATCACTCTGACTTCCCATCAACTTGTGATAGAATCGTATTAATATGAGAACGGTGACTCACTTCTAAGATGTGAGTAAAGGCAGAACTTTAAAGCAAACTTTAAAAGAGTCTGTACTTGACTCAGAAAACCAAATTTTAGTCCTTTCAGTATATAAAATTATATATTTGTGTAAAGATATTGCCTGTAAGTTTAAAAATCCTATGTCAGAATCTTGCTACCTCATCAAAAACATGCCCAAAGTTGTGTTTTGTTTCATTCACACGCTTGAGTAACCCTTTATTTTTAGTCTGTCTACATCTTCTCAGATCTCACATCTTCACACGTCTGTTCCACCTTGTGATGTCATGAAGATTTCAAGTTAACAACTACTTTTTATCCAGTGACGGAGTTAGCAATTTGGGGGCCCTAGGCGAACTTGAGTTTGGGGCCCTCACTATAATGCACCGTTTTTTTGTTTTGTTTTTTAATATATTTAGTGTCTGTTTTTCCCCGTTGTTCTTGAAACATGCACATCTCTCTTTGTTTGAACTATGGTGGATTGGAAACTTGTCTTATTAGTTTGGTCGTCTGCTAGATAATCAGAGCTGAAAGTAGTTTTATTTTTTTGCTTAGTACAGTTGCATTTTTGTTCACATCCATTACATGATTATTATTGTTTTTCTTATGATTGTTGTTTCAAAGTAAACAACCCTTATTAAATGTCATACTGAGAGAAAATCAAATTGCTCTGAGGCTTCGGTCAGTAGTGGCACTGAGGGCAATTGGTTGGGGGCCCCTCCAGGTTTGGGGGCCCTAAGCAGCCGCCCACTTTTGCCTAATGGTAGCGCCACCTCTGTTTTTACCTTTAGTTCAGCAGAGACTGACAATTCCACAGCTGAAATCATCCAAGTAGTTCTAGTGAAGGTGTGTGGAGTTTAAAAACACAGTGGAGCATTTCCTGTATCACCACATGACATCACAAGGTGGAACTGAGTGTAACTGAGAGTATATGCAGGATGTGTGTGTTAAAGATGTGTGAATGGAACAAAACACAGCTCCAGATATAATAAAACAGTACAATGCAAGCGTTTTTTTTTTTTTAGAAATTTAGTTGGATGTGAACCGTATGGAAGAAGATTCTAGAGAAGAGGAACATGCTGTACCTTTGTATATAATGAGAGACAATAGTAGGAACATTTGTCTGTAACTATTCCAGGCATTTGTTTCTCTGTCATCGTTCAACAATAGAATTAGGCTACGTTTATACAATGACAGTCTGAACAGAAGACGCAAAAGTGGCGTTGCGACTTCACTTTTTATTCTGTGTTTCGTCGAGCGTTTTCGGGAGGAAATCTGCGCGCATTCGGTGACGCAAAAGTGTGTGGAATTTGATTGGGTATGCGTGCCAGGCGGCTCGGTGGTGACTCAACGCTACGTGGTGATGTATGTGACATAAAGGCGTAAATGACGTGAGCAGATCTGACCAGAGTTTTGCGTCTTGGGCAGTGTAGACGAAAACGCTACGGCGAAGCGTGTTCAACTTTTCCGCTCTGGACGATGGTTTCAGATTTTTGCGTTTTTAAGCCCCAAAAACACCGTCACCGTCTTAACGAAAGGCACTTCTGATAAAACTTTTTGCCGTTTTTACCCCCAAGCGACAAAGTAGGTGGGGTTTGCAGTTCATTTCGAAACACATGCTTTGCTCATAGTTATAAATAGTGTAGAAAGCCTTTACAGAACACAGCGACCGGGTTTTTTTTTCCAGTGGTGTTACCAACAAAGAGACAAAAACGCTTCCTTATACAGTACATTATGCTTTGGTTCAGTACTTCACCACTTTACTGCAAAAACAACCCATTTCTTCTCGGGAGTACAATAAGTCAATATCACTCTAACATCAAACTCGCCACAATTCTATACTATATTCGCCGGAAAACACATCCGAATGCTGTTTTCCTTTCTTTGGTGCTGGCTGTTAAAGTAAATTACATTTCTGGAGCATCAGTGCGTTCCTGGCTCCTTCACGCCGCAGATTGTTTCCTTAATGAAAGAAAGGTAGAGAGCAACAAAGACCTTATCTCCTCTCATCCCTCAGCCCCTTCGCCGTGGCTCCCTCCCTGACATTTGGCGTTTAGCTAATCCAATCGCTGTCATTCAGGCTGGGGAGAGCTGCTGAGGCTAGTGGGGGAAGACAAATATCATGGCGGTGCTTAGAGCGAGGACTTTAAAGGCGGAGAGGCTAGCTAACAGAGGCTAAGCAGTGATAGCAACGGTATTAAAGGAAATGGCTTTTTTTAGTGCGTACTCGTAGTATTTCAAAAAGAACGCTGTAAACGGTGCAGTGATGAAAACTGGAAAAATGAAAAATTAGAAATACTCTGCTGTAACTAAGTAGATTTTTGGCATGTTTGTACTGTGTAGAGCAGATTTTTCACTTGTAGCTACTAGTTAAGTATAATTCAAGCCAAGTATTTGTAATTAGTTGCATTTAAAAGGTCCAATATTACACAAAATTGACTCTTGTGAGCTTTATAATGTTGTTACCTCATTCACACATGTTTAAAGGGCCCATCTCATGCAAAATCAACTTTTCAGAGCTTTCTACCTTCTAAGAGTGATGTGTGGGGCTTGTATATGTCGCCGAAGTGGTTTTTAGATTGATTTGGCGTTTTTTTTTTACAAATTGCAGCGTATTTCTGCCACCTTCCCACGTGACAACGAACTAAAGCCTGCTCCAACGATAACCCGCACCCGTGCCCCTCCCCCAATCCACCGCCTCCACCCTGCATCGGCTGACAATTCCCACATGAACACCTAAACAAAAGCAACAGCAAAAGCTAATTGTTCTACACTGCAGTGTACACGACAAAATAAGTTTATCTACTAGTGTTTATTAATACTTTACCAATCAGTAATGTTCAGCTGATGCCGACGCGGTGATTCCGGGTCCAACACATAAAGCCATGATGAATAAAAGTTTATTCCTACTGCTATCAGGGTGCACGCCTGTCTCTCCCCTCCCTCCCTGAGATGGCGGAGGAAGGGCGGCTCACTCAGAGCCTACATCATGTTTGGAGGGCGGAGCCTGTGTTTTCTCAGGACGGGCAGGGGGATGAGCAATAGTCTGTCTTTCACAGTTCCTGGTCTGTGACTGCCTCCAAGAAATCAGTAAGATTTCATAACTATTGTGTAATGGATGTTCCAAAACCCAAATTGTGCTTGTTTATGTGCAGAAGATACGAATGTGAAAAGAGTTATTTTGCATGAGATGGGCCCTTTAAGTAATCCTTTGTCTACATCTCCAGAGCTCAAAATGCTCTGTTCCACCTTGTGATGTCATGTATGCTACCTTTTACCTTTAGTTCAGTAGAGATTGGCAATTCCTGGGCTGAAGTAATCCAAATCATTCTAGTGAAGATGTATGGAGTTTAAAAACACAGTGAAGCTCTTCCTGTATTAGCACATGACATTACAAGAGGGAACAGAGAGAAGAACTCAGCCTAAATATGCAGGGTTTGTGTGTTAAACTTGTGTGAATGAATGAAACTAAACTCCAGGTATTTTTTGGTGAGGAAACAAGATAACATAGATGAGCAAAACAGCGCAATATTTAAAAAGTTCATGAATACTGTACAAGACTAGGGTGATAAGAATTTCAAAATAAAAAACTGGGACATCCCTGTTTTTGTGGTGGTTGGTAATAATACAATTGTCAAACAAGGAATGGAATAATAAAGGAATTAAGGAAAATTGCTATGCAGAGACCACTCGTGACTAACATGGGAGTCAGTATAGTCTCATTTTCGTTGTGTTTTGGCCATTTTTAAGCAGATTTTTTTGTATTTTACCTAAACAAATTACAATTAATGCATCTCTTTACTGCTGACAGGGATCAGATTGGTCAAAAATAGGGACACCTGGGACACTTCTTACATAAAACTGGGACAAATCAATGGTTTTGGATAAATCTGCTGGGACAAGGGACAGACTCCCAGTCCACGACGTCTCTGCTAATAAGGGAACTATTAACTAGTACTCTGAGAATTATTTTTCATGCATACCTTTTACTTTTACTTAGTACAATTGGCAGTGGTACTTCTACTTGCAATTTATTGACTTGAGTACAAATCCCACCATCCACTCTTTCCACCACTGCACTAGATAGTTTATTGTCAAACGCCTCCTCTTACTAGTGTAAAAATGCACAAATCTGTCTCCACAGAACTGACAAATGCTCTTGGATGTGGTTCAACATTTAAAACCTTTTACAATGGACTACTTTGGAAACCCCTGAACTTTACCTGGAGTACTTTTGTTGTTGTTGTAATCCTATTAGCAAAATGGTCTCAAATATAAGTGCTCCTACGTGTTGCTATACTCCACACATCATGATATTGTCAAAGCGATGTATTGTATTGTTAAAGTTTGCATGGTTTGTACATAAAAAAAAAAAAATAAAAATAAACATTCTAATACTTTCAAAGCAT